AATGAAGGGTATCTCATATGGTGCGCCTGAACGGATGCAGAGTGTGGGTGATAAGGGTAATAGCTAGAAGTTTATGTTCTGGATAAGAATGAAATCCAATGTTAGTTGGTCAATCCAATGTTAGTTGGTCCAATGGCATTGAACGCCGAACATGTGGAATGCGCCATAAAAGTAACATCGAATTTGCATAACAGCTAACACTTAATACGACTTAGTGGACGGAAACATTTCTTATCTATTACACATATTTCCTTAGTCCTCTTTCCCATCGTACTTCGCTTTTTTTCGTTTTCTTCCCTTACTCGTCTTCTTACTTCATTATTTTCTCGTAAACCTTTAACAGTCAAGGTTTTTTTGTAGTCCTAGTTTTGATTATTCGTAGTAAGTAGTATATTGCCTAGTTTTCCTGTTCAGTTTTCTCTTTCATTTACGGTGCATCATACTTTTAAAAGCTGTCGCAGCATTGCATTTTTTGGAAGCTTAAACTCAGGAAATAGATGTCTTCGAAGAAGGGCTATTAGTTTTTTGGAGGATTTTTTTTTGACAAATATGAAAAAATTGATTTTTGGCTTTGTTAATTTTTTCGCGGAATTGCTGCATTGCCTGATGGTCACTATTTCCTAATCCTGGTCGAGTATGTGTGGTGCTCCTGTAGCGAAGGGGAGAACGTTGTATTAGACGACGAAGTAAAACAACACGAAGAACAACAATGAGAAATGTGCCAAAGGGAGCTCTTTGTAGAGAGTGCTGTGAGCGTTCTGTGGCGCGCGCCGAGTGGGCGTGGCTTCGGCATAACATGTCACAGCGCATTGCCGGCATAACACGAGGTCCAGTTGCAGCACTGAATAGGAATGTATGCGACTTGATGGACCGAAACATTCCAATTCAGATTTTGTTTTTATTTTTTGTTTTACATTTTTTATTTTCATTTTTTTACAATCTTTCATAATCATAAAATGTCTAAATTTAAAATAACACATTTGTGGTGGGAGCGCAACAACTGGTCATCTTGGGTTTTACGCCTACATCACTGTGATAAGAATGGAAAGTATTTGAATAGGTCTTGCGAGCGTTTCTGTAGCTTTTGGTTGAATCGGGGTGTGCTTGTTGAGATTTGAGTTTTGCTATTTCGCAGCTAATTTCATTTTTGCAAATTTTTTTGCGAGTTTTAAAAACGCTTAATTTTTTTGTATTTGCAGATCTTCGTGAACGATGTTCGATTTGCATCGTTTGCGCATCGTTCGGACCCGCATGACATCACTGGTCTGCAGATCCAGGGCGATATCGAACTTACGGGCATACAGATTCACTGAGTTGACAGTCTCTCTCTTCGTTTATGCTTTTTCTTGTCGAACTTTGGAACGAAATAGCAAGAAATCCCGTTATGGACAGTCTATGCCTCTTTTCGTATCTCTGTCTGCCCTCAACAGCTTCTTAATAAACCCCTAATTTCTTACTTATATTCAGTCCTGTGAAGTTCCCTTCATGTTTTATTTTTTTTTTTAATACAAACTTCAGCAGCAAGAATGTCAACGCTGCCCAGGCGATCATTGTGGATAATGAACCTTTAATATTTTCGGAAAATGCGTATTTTAAATTTGGAAGAAATTTTTCAGTACACCTTTATGCCTCCCAAAAACTATTTTGGCCCGGGGAAGCCCATTTTCATCAGCCATTGCTTCGTTAGCTTGCCTTTTATTTGCTGCCACTGTACTGATTTCCAGTATTCCGGAAAATTATGCCTGTACACGGAAATGACCCTTTTTTCGAAAATGACCTTTTTGCAGCAGTAACGATTGCTTATTTTTTTGATTTTTTTTTCTGAAAATTCCTTGTTTTCTACTACAAAATCATGAAGTCTCTGGTTTTTAGCTGTGTACGGCACTATAAGATTAAAATAATGATTCTTGCTGACCCCTTCCTATACCTAGTTTGTCCCGGCTTTATCCAAAAAGTTCGAATAATTTTTGTTAATGTTTCCTTCCCAGCGCACATCATCTTACTGCAATGTTTTACCTATTTTCTGTCCAAAGTTTTATTTTTGAGTCATTTCTAGCTTCTCACAATGTCCACAATACCCCGAGGGCAAGAAGAGGGGATGAGGTGCATTGTTAAAAACCACTGTGATTTGAAATCCGGTCTAGGGTAATCTTACCCAGTGATTCGTTTTTCCAGCTGTGTTTTGCCCCAGTGCGAGAAAAGATATCCTGTAAATGAGCTTGCTGTAATGTATTGATATTTCTCAGAGTGTAACCTGCCTGAAAGAATCCGTATTTCTTAGTATTTGGGGTTTTTTTTCGATTAGGCCTAAACCCGGAACGAAGTTCAGCTAAGCTTAGAAATTGAAAGCCTTGGATCTGTGTGGATCTGCGTCCAGTTTATGATAATAGACGGGTGTAAAAAATCTCTCTTCTCACTGGATATTTTGCTTTCTGAATTGGGTATTTTGCTCCCAAGAGCCAAATTTTTGCTGAATTTTGATAGTAGCGCCTTTTTAGGATTGCGTCGTCTTAGTTACCAAAACTTGGAAGGAATTAGCATTTGTGGGAAAATGGGTAAAATATTCTTTATGTGAAGTGAAGTGATGAAGAACAATGTAAATGAATTGAGTAAGGAGAGAATGAAAAACTCGAATCCCTGTTTTAGTGAAATGCATTCTAGAAAAAATTGAATCCAGGAAAGTAGCCAAAAAAAAGTCCGCCTTAATTTAAAAAAACCTAAAATTCAGTTTTTTTTTCGGGGGGGGGGGTCTTGATAAAATTCCAACAAAAATTCAAAAATTTTGATAAAATTCTACCAAGCCATGCACGCTGTTTCAGCCCGTTTGTTTGGTGTTCGTTCCCCGGGAAGCATTTTTTGCCTCTTTCCCTCTTTCTCTATGTGTGTGTATTGTGGATGTGTGTACGTATCACTTCTCCCGGTAATTCTTTCATCCCCGTGGACGGCTGCATTTGTCATTTTTTTTAGCCAGCACTACACAGAAATCCCCGTGAAATTTATTCTTTTTTATTTTTATTTGCAAAAATATTGATTCACTTGC